GCTTGGCCCCACACAAAATGGCGGCTCCTGGAGCAGCTGAGAGTCCCGAACCAGGAAGCAATGGATTTCTTGCTTCTGCCACAGACTCCCCAGCTGTAAGTCTTCCAACCTTCTAGATATTCCTTTATATGTGGTTCACTATACTGGGACCATTCCCTGAGCCTGCTTGCTCCTGTAGTCTGTGTTGTTCTCGGCAGAGCTCGTCACTACACTTCCACCTGATCCGCCATCTTTTTCTGGAAGCCCATTATTCCACTTGATCATTGCTTTATTTTATGCTCCTGAATGTGTTTGCACATATTTTGATAAGGATATTAGTATTTATGCTCAAAAGGGATTTTGGCATATGAGTATCCGTTATTAAAATGTGTTTGTCAGGTTATATATATAGAAAAATGTAGATGCTTGGATTATAAAATAAATTGTTCAGGGCTCTTTGTTTCTTTTCTATAATAGAGTGTGCTTTCTACTTAAGATGATATTTACCAAACATAACAGTTTTTCCCCCCAAACATTTTCAGAAAAAAATAACACCACACAAAACAAAACCCTGTAGTTTCAGTTTATTACTATGAATAAAGGATGTCTTTATTTAACTTTAATTTTTGAATGGTGGTTTTGCTAGATTCTAATTTGATAGCTTTTTCTTTTAGCATTTAAGAATGTCATTTACATTAGTGCCATTTGCTGTATCAAAAAATTGTCTCAAGATGTAATGATGTTCATAAAACAATGTTTATTATATCACAATTTCTGTGAGTTAGCATTCAGGAAAGATTTAGTTAGGTGGTGTGGCTTAGAGTCTTTCTTGAGTCAAGAAATTTTCCAGGGCTGTAGTCATCTAAAGACATAACACTGGTTTAGAGCTTGTTATTGTGTGTTGTCAAGTCAATTTCTACTCATAGTCACCCGATCTGAAAGAGGGTCTTCTAGGCCTGTCTCTGTGTTAGGATCTTTAATCAATTGTCAGATATTTTTGTTAAAGCAGCTACATCAGGATAAGCTGGTAAGTATAAGATCAGCAGTTCAAACTCACCAGCCACTCTCAGAAATTATACAGGGTCGCTATGCATTGGAACTGATTCAACGATATGCTACAACAGCATCAAACATTTAAAAAATTCTGGACTACATATTTTCTGTTGCAGCTATTCAACAATTGTTTTTATTATGAATGTAGTCATAGACAATGCATGAGTGAGTGACTCTAGTTGTGTTTCAAGGAAAGATTATTTATGAACATTGGATTTAATAGAATTTTCATATGTCATAAAATATGATTTTTCTTTTACTATTAAAAATGGAAAAACTGCTGTTAGCAAGTATATCATAAAAAAACAGGAAAGAGGCAAGATTTGTCCTGTGAGTCACAATTTGCTGACACCTCAGTTAGAGGACCCACTGCCAGCATGGTTCATTCACATGGTTGGCCAGTCTTTGCTGGATATTGGCAGGAAGCCTCATTGCCTTTCTAGGTCAGATCGAATGTCCTCCTGGCATGGTGACTGGCTTTTCTCCTCAGAGTGGGTGATCAAGAGAGACAGCAACGAGAAAGAAGAGTATCAGTTCCAACTCATAATAATCCTGCATAGGGTTTCCAAGGAGTGGCTAGTGAACTTGAACCTCCAACTTGCAGTTCAAACCAACCTTGTAGTCTGGTGTGTTACCCAGGACTCCTAAGAACTACTTGTTGTTGTTGTGAAGTACCGTTGAGTCAATTCTGACCCATAGCAACCCTGTATAGGGTTTCTGAGGTCCAGCTGTTAAGCCTGAACTGCTGACCTTGCAGTTCAAATGACTTTGCAGTCTGGTGCATTAACCCACAGTTCCACAGCAGAACTACTAGAGGCACTAATTGTTGTTGTTGTTGTTAAGTGACGTTGAGTTTGTTCTGACTCATAGCGACGCTGCATAGGGTTTCCGAGGAGTGACTCGTGAGCTTGAACCACTGACCTTGTGGTTTAAACCACCCTTGCAGTCCAGTGCATTAACCCACAGCACCACACCAGGATTCCCGAGGGTACTAATAGCCTAAGGTTATTTCTAATGTTCATTCATTCTGAATATGTGCTTCCTGGAATTCAATCAATGCACAATGTGGGAAGGGGAATGTTTAGGTCTTCGAAAGGCTGATGTAGGTGGTGTACCTCTAGTTTACGGTGGTGAAGAGGAAGTCTCTCTGTATCTTTCCCTTAGGGACACCTGTGTACAAACTCTCTGTCTTGTGACAGGCAGGGAGCCAGCCATTCTTTTTGTGTTGTTATCTGTCGGTCGGTCTGAAGTATTTCCCTTGCTCTCCTGCCTGTACAGTTCCTCCCAACCTTATGGCTTATCTGCCTCAGGCCTCAGTGAGATTCAGCAGCACTCTTCTTCAGCATCACAGTCTCCCTTCACCAGCTGTGTGGCCCATGAACTCCTTACGGCCAATTTGCTCCAACTTAAATCAAGCTGCAGTTTCCTCTGTTCATCTCCCTTTCTGTTCACTTGTTGAGGTGTTGACAGACCTGTCCCTAAATGGTTACCATGAGCAAGTACCACAAATGTTAATGGTGTGTTCTCCCGGATGCTTTATTGCCCTTGCTCCTCCTCTCCCTGACTTCTGGACTCTATCTGACTGTCCACCATCTTAGCTGAGCTCTCACTCTGTGTTTGTAGGAAGCATCTAGTTGATGCTAGAGGTTTGTCAGCTTCTTCATAGCTATAGGAACTTAAGTCATGGTGGCCCTTTGGAAGTGAATACCGCAGCAGTCCAAGGTGAAAATTGCTATAGTGGAAACTGAATTATAACTGTTTAGTTCATGAAAACTCATTATCATGAACATCTTCCTCCTCCACCTTATCATCATTACTGCCGTTATTATGGACAAGGTAATTCAAATTTATTAACGTGTTTATTTTATCCCAGTACTATGCTGAGAACTGTATATATATTAGTTAATTTTTATGATCCTATGAAAAGAGGTACTATTATTGAACTTACTTATAGATGAGAGAACTGAGACATTAAAGGTTTAAACTGTTCCAAGATTGCAGGTGTAGTAAATGACAGAGGTTTCACTCAAACCTGGGTCTTTCTGTCTTAAAAGCATATGCGTTCAGTTATTAATCAATAAACAAAATAATAGGGAAGAATATTAAACCTAGACTACTAATTCTAGTAAAGATAATTGATTTGGAGTTTCCATTACCCAATTGAAGATCATACGTTATAGCCCAAATAATTTTCTATCAGAATTGCTTCATAATGTTTTTATTTCTGTAGTTTTCTATTTTGATTTTCAACAGATATTGAGTGGAAATGGAATAGAAAATATGACCATTATTTCAAGTGACTTCAGAGGACTGAAATTTTTAAAGAACATATCTACAACCAAGCAAGATTATAATCTTATATGCTAATATTTTCTAAAAGAATGGTTATGTGTTTTTTGTTTCCTCTCCTTAGGAAAAATTGGACGTAGGGATAAGAAAAGAAGTAGATGGTATGGGGACATCTGAAATAAAATATGGTGACTCCGTATGTTATATACAGCATGTGGATACAGGCCTGTGGCTTACTTACCAGTCTGTAGATGTGAAGTCAGTGCGAATGGGATCTATACAACGGAAGGTAAGAATTATATGAAACCTCATTTTCACAATTTCTGAAACTGTAATTCATGAATATGAATATGAAATACACAGAAACAAGTTGAAAGAAGTTCCTAACTACATCAGCCACATACTAAATAAAGTTCATTACTTTACAGGCTAGAGGCCAAATCCCAGCATAGCAGACTCTTTGTAAAAGTTTTTGTAGTATAAACATCACTGGAATCTACATTTGAGTTTAAGGACTATATGATTTATGTGTTTGAGCATTAAGTGAAGAAATGTAATCTCTTCTGGATTCTGGATTCTCACTCTAGTCAGTTTGTGGTCCATGCTGCAGCTAGGCTTCAGAAAGCATAAATGCTCATGGTTCCTCTCAGCTCTAAGTACTTCAAAGACATCTCATTGCTCAAAGACAAACCTCTAACTTTTTGGTAGCAATACTCTTCCTAACCTGGCTCCTGCCTCATGTCTGTCCTGTCCTCTCAGACTTTTACCAATCTCCAACCACCTTGTTCATTTTTCCCATCCTGATAGTTATCGTTCACTCCTTGCATTTCCTCTGAAGACCATGGTTTCTACCATCTGTGCATTTACATAGACACTGAGTTCCTGTGTTAGGAATGTTTGTCTTAGGGACAACTCTTACTTGCCCTTTAATGTTATATAAATTTACCTCACTTTGAAATGATTGAATCAGTCCCTTCTTGGAACAAATGTTTCATCACAATCACCTTCACTGTTGCTGAAGTGGGTGTTGGTGAAGTGGGTTCACTTTGTGACATTTATTGGCCTTACATTTACAGTTTTTGCTCTTTTATGGTTTGCTTTGATCTAATGTTCAAAATTAAAGAGTATTCTCAAGTGACTGTTGTTGCTAGCACCTTTGAGTCAGTACCAACTCATAGTGATCTTATGCACATCACAACAAAACACTGCCTGGTTCTGCGCCAACCTTAAAATCGTTGCTACATTTGAGCTCATTCTGCTGCCACTGTGCCAGTCCATCTCGTTGGGGGCATGTCTCTTTTTCACTGATCCTCCAATTTACCTACCATGATATACTTCTTCAGGGACTGGTCCCTCCAGAACATATGTCCAAAATATGAGAGATGAAGTCTGGCCATCCTGGCTTCTAAGGAGCATTCTGTCTGTACATCATCCATCATAGATCTGTTTGTTCTTTTGGCAGCCCATGGTACTTTTCATACTCTCCTCTAATACCATAGCTCAAATGCATCAACTCTTCTTTGGTCTTCCTTATTCATTGTCCACCTTTTACATGCATATGAAGTTATTGAAAATATTATGGCTTGGGTTAGGTGCACCTTAGTCCTCAAACTGACATAAAATGATTAATAAAATAAAAATATGATTTTTAAAATTTGGAAGCCTTAAGAATATTGTTTTTGTTATTATTAATTAGCCAGTCTATGTTCAGAGCTTTTGTGTAACTTATGGTGAGCATCTAATGTTTTTCTTGCAGCTATGTCCAGAGATTTACTTAAGACTGTCTATACACGACAGCACTCAACTGTTTTGTTCAGTTCAATGCATCCATTTATTCATTCATCAAAACATCCACTGATTCAGTCATCAGTACAGTACTTGCATGCATGTAATGAATGGGTAGCTTTTAACAAAACCTCTGCATGTCATTTCATCTGCACACAACAGTTTTCAGTCTCTTGGACCTAACTGTGAATTCTGTTTATTGTTTTAACACATTATTTTGTGTGCAAATCTTGTTAATGAGCAAAACATCTACTCTGTTTTGTTGGTAGTGTTGTTCAGCTCTTCTTTATCGTTACTGCTCTTCTGTCTACTTATTCTACTTATTGAGAGAAGAATATTTTATATCTGAGCAGAACTGTGGAGTTTTCCATTTCTCAATGCAGTTTTATCACTTTTTCTTGTATGTGTTTTGAAGTTACGTTTTTAGGTATGCTATTAGGTGAAAATAATGGCATTGTTTCTCTTTCTTACAGGCTATTATGCACCATGAAGGCCACATGGATGATGGCTTAAATTTATCTAGGTCTCAGCATGAAGAATCTCGTACAGCACGAGTAATTCGTAGCACAGTCTTCCTTTTCAATAGATTTATAAGGTTTGTTTTCTTTGGCTGTGTTATTATTGGGTATTTTATTTCTATTTCTTTATTGGACTTACAGTCAGACAATTTGGAAATACACTATGGCGATAGTAATCAAAAGCATTGTTGTTGTTAAGTGCTGTAGTGTTGGTTCCAACTCATAGTGACCCAGTGTAGGGCTTCCAAGGAGCAGCTGTCGGGTTGGCAGTCTGTTGCTGAGTCTGTAGTGCCATACCATTATAACGTCATAAATCTCATACTATTTGATAGATTCACAGAACCTATCAAAAACTGCTAGTTGCATGATTTTATGTCTTTTTTTTTTCAGTGCAAACTTTAAAAAAAAAAATCAGTTTTCAGAAATTCTATGTGTAATTTTAAATGGTAGCTGCCGTGGGGAGGATTATTCTATAGTATAGTATAGTCTGATGTTGACCTTCCTTAATTCATTTTTGCATACAGACTATATACTGGTGAGTTTTTATATGTATTAAAATTAAGATCATTTTGTATAATACTTGAAATAGTTGCACATCTACATTCTGAACCAAACTTGTGGTTTTGTTTTCTGATACCAATTTACATTCTGACTTGTAAAGGATATAATCTATCTTTAAACTTTTCCAATTTGGTGAGAGAGGGGAGATTTTATATATACAAAATATATATATAAAGATTTTAGTAACCATTTTAGCATAGTGGTTACCAATTGGGCTGCTAACCTCAAGGTCGGCAATTGGAAACTACCAGCTTTTCTGCGGGAGAAAGATGAGGCTTTCTGCTCCCGTAAAGATTTGCAGTCTTGAAACCCTGTGCAGGGTCGCTATGAGTCAGAACTGACTCCATGGTACTTAACAACAACAAACAACGTATACACACATACATATATCTACCACTTGTTTGGCTGTTTGTCAAGTGATGGATGTATATATGGTGGTGCTGGTGGTGTGTTACTGAATCTGTTATGACTCATAGCGACTTTGTATAGGATTTCTCAGGAATGGCTGGTGGGCTTGAACTGCTAATCTTGTTGTAAGCAGTTCAGTGCTTATCCTACAGTGTCAAACCAGGTCTATATATATAATGTGTGTGTATTCACTTATTTATTTGTTCATTTAATTATCTTTTTACTTATTTAACTACTTATTTATTTATTATGGCTGTGGTTAGGTGTTGTTGAGCTGGTTCTGACTTATAGGGACCACAACAATACTATGAGACCCAGCGCCTAACGGAATGGAACACTGCTTATTCCTGCATTATCATCACACTCATTGGTATATTGGAGACTAGTGTGCTGCCACTGTGCGGATCCATCTCATTGGGGGGGTTTCCTCTTTTTCGCTGACGTTCCATTCTGCCAAGCATAATGTCCTTCTCCAGGAACTGATCCCTTTGCCTGTCTAATCTAACTCTTAGTGGCCCTGTCAAGTGTTCTGATGAGTGGCTGGATGTAAATACATATATCCACCACTTGTCTGTCAGTTTGATGTACTGTGGTGACTTGTGTGTTTCTGTGATGCTGGAAGCTATGTTCCTGGTATTTTAAATACCAACAGAGTCACTCATGATACATTTCAGCAGAACATCAGGACTGAAACAAATTAGGAAGAAGAATAGATGGAACACTTCTGAAAGGTTAGCCACTGCAAACTTTATGAATAGCTGTGGAACATTGTGTGATATATTGCCTGAATAAGCCTCTTAGATTGTTATTGTTGTTGTTAAGTGTCTTCGAGTCGGTTCTGACCCATAGCAACTCTGTATAGGGTTGCCTAGGAGCAGCTGGTGAGCTTGAACTGTCAATCTTGCGATTTAAATCGACTTTGCAGTCCAGCGCATTAACCCACAGCACCATACCAGGAAGGCACTCAAACTACAACTGGGAAGAGTTGCCTCCTGAATGTAGGATGGGCCTTACTTATGACCTAAGTGCAACAAGGGTCTTAGAACCTTCATTTGCTGATGGAACATGACTCAAAATGAGAAGAAACAGCTGCAAACATTAATACTCAGAATAGTGAATGAAAAAGTATGAATCTGGAAACTGGAGGCACCAAAAATGAAATGAAACACATAAAAGTCAATATTGTAGGCACTTTAGTTAAGTGTTGTCAATTAATTCTGACTCATAGATAGCCCGTAGAGGGTTTCTAAGGCTATAAATCTTTGCAGGAATGGAAAACATTGCTGTTCTTACATGGAACAACTGGTGGGCTTGAACTACCAACCTAACACCTAGGATAAGCAGTTCATTTCAATGTACTGGTATTGGCCATTTTGAATCAGACAGTCATATTGTTTACTATCCCAGGAATGGCAAATTGAAGAGGAACAGCATTACAATCACTGCCCATGAGAACATTTCAAGATCTATATTGAAATACAATGCTGTACCACTCCTATTCAATATTGTTTTGAAAGTCTTAGCTAGAGCTATAAAGCAAGAAAGGGAAATTAAAGAAATCCACATTGGCATAGAAGAGGTAAAGCTCTGTCTATGTACAGATGATACACTCCTGTACATAAAAAAAATCCCTAAGGCTCAGGAAAAAAAAAAAAAAGAAAAAAAAATAGATAGGAACTCATTGAAAGATTCAGCAAAGTGGCAGGGTACAAGGTCAACATACAAAAATCATTTGGATTCCTCTGTGTTGTTGTTGTTAAGTGCCGTCGAGTCCATTCTGACCCATAGTGACCCTGTATAGGGTTTCTGAGGAGCAGCTGGTGAGCTTGAACCGCCAACCTTGCAGTTCAAACGGCTTTGCAGTCTGCACTGCACCACACCAGGACTCCACACCCGTATTCCTCTATACTAAACAGGAAATTAGGAAAATAATACTATTTACAATAGCTACACAAAGTGTGAACTACTTAGGAATAGATCTAACCAGAGAAACAAAAGACCTAGACAAAGAAAACTACAAAATATTACTACAAGAAATCAAAAGAGATTTACAAAAATGCATGAATATACCATGCTCATCGACAGGAAGACTTAATATTGCGAAAATATCAGTACTACCCAAAGCAATCTACAGATATAATGCAATACCCAGAAGTCCCCCTACTTGGTGTACATCCACAAGAAATAGGAGACAGTACATGAGTAGATATATGCACACCAATGTTCATCGCAGCACTATTCACAATATAAAAAAGATGGAGACAGCCTAAGCACCCATCAATGGAAAAATGGATAAACAAACTCTGGAACATGCACAAATGAAATACAATGCAACTTTGACGAATACCGATAAATCTGCAAAACCCATCATAATATGAAGGAACCTTGAGGTTATGTTATGTTGTTTTGTTATATATTTTAAATGTCATTGAGTCATTTCTGACTCATAGCGACCCTGTATAGGGTTTCTGAGGATGGCTGGTGAGCTTCAACCATCGACCTTGTGATTCAAACCAACGTTGCAGTACAGCATATTAACCAGCAGCACCACACCAGGACTCTGAGGACATTTTGCTGAGTGAAATTAGTCAGTCCCCAAAGAATATATATTACATGAGACCATTATTATAAAAAATTAAGAAAAGATTTCCTATTAAAAGAAACATTCTTAGATTACCAGGGATGGGAGGGAGGGAAGAGAGAATTCACTCTTTATGGGTAGACATGTTAGCTGGGGTGACAGGGAGAGCAGTATATATAAGGATGGGGAGGGCAGTACACAAGAAGAGCAAGGGTGGCAGATGAGCAATGAAGATATGGGAAAACTTAGGGAGATATGTTGTTGTTGTTGTTGTTAAGTGCCATCAAACTGGTTCTGACCCAGAGTGACCTTGTATAGGGTTTCTTGAGGAGTATCTGATAAGCTTGAACTGCTAACCTTGTGGTTCAAACTGACTTTGCAGTACAGCACATAAATCCATGCATGAGCTAAATGGGATTGAAGTAAATAGTGATTTATACACAGTGTTGGAACAACAATGTTCTGTGATGTAGGTATTGAGACATAGTCTGAATGGATAAAGGAGGGGGGAAATGTTTAGGTGCTTGACTATTTTGTGGATATTGGTTTCCCCTACCTACTATTGTAAGACAGACATTTAAGTATGATAGAAATGAATATTGAGAATTATGATTACAGAATGCTTCTGCCCATATTCAGCCTATAACTGATTGAATTAGATAAAAGGGTAATTAGAATTTGCCCAGGGAAATAGACTTCTTGTCAAGCCTTTGTGGAGTATGGGGCCTTAGTTGAAATCTTGAACCTTCTGAGGTGGGACATTTGCGCTTGAAAAGATGCAGAACAATCTAGAACAGCTGGGAGAATAGAGAATTCTTATTGAAAGAAAAGAATGTTCAGCTGTTAGAATATCAAGCAAGTGGTTTACTTTGGTGGTATCAAGACAAGAAAAATCATACCATGAAGGAAAACCCCCTTATAAGACTGAAACTCAAGTAAAATCATAGGCCATCTACTATGCTCACTGGTGACCAACCTGGTCTGCTTATGATTGGAAGTGGGGAATACGCAGCAGTGAAGGCTTGGGCTGAGTCTGCCCATATTCCATTGATAACCATTGACCTTGAGATGAGAGAGAGAAGAGGAAGGGCTGGCTGCCTGATGTTTAGGGAGATGTGTGAATCCTGAACCCATGAGCACTGACCTATCCACTGGGACCAGAGCTCAGAGTGAAGTGACCAGCTGGTCTGAAGTGTGGGGAGGTGTGAGTGAACTCCCAAACTTGTGCCTAGTACCCATTTGACCTAGCTTGCCATGGCTAGCTGACCAGAACTTGATCAGATGAAGACAAAGATGCTTGATACTGTGAGCAAATGTATGCTGCTATAATTTTATGAACTGTACCTTTGCTTATGGATGCAATTGCCCAAAATTCCAACCCAAATGGAAGGATTCTTCATATCAAGGATCAAGTTTGTTTCCTCAGTACACTGGGTAGATTAAAGAGTGCATTTTAGACATTGACTATCAAAAATAGGGTGCTATAGGGCTTAAAGTGGCTGGCTTATAAGCTTTCATGAGTGTGCT